TCCTCCTTTTTTATACCTTTAACTCTCTGTCTCACCTCATCCCAAGAGCAATAAATGTGCAAAATGGCATACCCAAGAGCTAGTGTGCACAGACACGTGTCTACACACACAAAAACATATGCATAAGGCCTCTAATTTTATTTCTTTTTTTGATCTCTATTTCTGTATTTTTTTTTTAAACTGAGACTTAGAAAGGGACCATGTTATGGAAGTCTTGGCCACTGTAAAGATTTTAATGCGCCAACTGGGACATGGGAAGTGTGCATTTAGGGCCTAAAGGAACCACAGAGTCCTTTAGCCAATGCAATGTTTATTAAAAGTTTTGTCCCCGGGGAAACCCAAATCCTTATGGAAGACCGTCTCTTCCTTTAGATGTGTAGAAACTAGAAGACAGTAGTTGGCTGCTTACACATATTAGAATCTGTTATTAGTTAATAAAATATGTCTGTGTTTACTGCTATTTGGGACAATATGTTGTGTCATACCAAATATTTTGTAGTAAGTCCAGCCTGCCAAGAAAGGAAAGTCCCAAAGTATATTTTTAATGTGAATTTAAGCTGTGTGAAATTAGCTGGGGTTTTTTTTTTTTTTTTTTTTTTTTGGACTCTCATTTGAAAAACAGCACAAGTTCTTTCCCAAAAGCTGGGCACTAGTACACCTGCTGTATTGTGCCTCCTGTACTCGTGTGAACTCAGTTACCATACCTGTGTTCAGGCAACAGTGAGGGAGGCCTTCTGAAACTATGGCTACTGGCTCTGCTCCTTGAGGACTAGGCTGGAAATGAATCTTTGTCCCTTCTGGGGGAGAAGACTGCAACAGTACTAACCCAGCTTTTCTTTGTAAACCTCTCAAACACAGCAGCGGTTCCCACTCAACATATCATAAGGCATTGCTCAGAGAAATATCTGACAGTATCTCACATGTCATCTTAATGATCCCTAAACTCTTGTTTGAGGAGATTTTTAAACATTTGAAAACTTTTATTTTGTGTTAAGTTGTTTTATAAAGAATTTGACCTCTGCAGCACTGTTACTGTATTAGGGGAGCAACTTCTTCAGTGTGTCTGTGTGAAGACCCTGAAATTTCCCGGGGAAGTTTGGTGGTGGTTAAAGCCAGGCAGGGGAGGTTGGTTGTGTTTGGGACTGTAGGTTGTTCTTACAGCTCAAACTATGCCTGTCTCAATGGTTGAATTTCTTGCACTTTATAATTTTTAGGATATACATATGTATTCATATGAACAATTTAATGGAAATTAGAAGCATGTAAGAATACATGTCAATATCTTTATGCTCCTTGGTAGTTCTGCAATTGTTATATGTTTATGCTGCAGAAGGTACTCTAAAAATGAAAGTTGTTAGCTATTCATAGAAACTTTTTGATGATAAATACGACTTGCCATCCATGACTTTGTGATACTATTTATACTTTAGGACCTATCACCCAGGGGTTGTGACACACACACACATACACACACACACACACACACACCAGATTGTTTTGAACAATTCTTTTAAAATATCCAGGGCCAAAAGTTCAAGAACAGAAAAGAACCCCACTAGTTTTACACATGCATGTCATTCATCTGTGTACTGCTAGAGTGGATGTACTACTTTTGAGGATTCGTGCAGAAAAAAAAAAAGTGATCCGTGTTTTTCTTCCCTCCACTTTTTGGAAAGAAAATATAAAGGATTTAAATAATTTTTTTTTCTTCAACCATTATTTATTGAGTCATCGATTTTCATGTTCTTCCCAGGTTTTTCTCAAACTCAAATCCTGAATACAACTTGACATCTTCCTCTTAATGTTCTGTTAGCATCTCAGGCTTTTCTTGATTCCACACTGTCTTCTCCCAGGGGACCCTTAGCAACTGGCAGGAGCCACCATCCACCCAGATGACTGACCCAGGCTTCTCTGAGTTGCCCTGATTCCCAAAGTTTTGTTGTGGGTCTTTTCTAACCACACACTGCCATCTTTTTGAGTAAGACTGTTGTTCCAGGCTGTTCTGACATTCATCTTAGCAAGTCGCCATCTGTTTTTTAAATCAATGACAGTGAATTCTGAACATTTTTACCCATTTCTGCCAACTTAGCTGTGGCCAGCCAAAGTAAGACACAGGACATGAGAGAGTGAGAACAATAGCAAACCACCTTCCCAGAGCCACTTCCACCTACGTGCATCCCAGGAGAGTTCTGCAGGGGAAACTCATGCAATGTTGGAGATCTCAGACAAACCATCGAGCTGGGGGTGGGGACACACAGGAATATCTCCTTCCGACTCTTCTTTGAGAGCAGGAAATAGGTAGGCTAAAGGCTCACTGAGCCAAAGGATTTCAGGGAGAGCAACATGTCATTGAGTGTGAGACTTCTTTGCTACATTTAAGAAAAGAGTAAATATCCACCTTCATCTCTCCAGAATTTCACATGCTGCCACTAATTTATTAGGGCTGAAGTTCAAGAGCAAAATGATACCAAAAGCAAAGTGGTCCAAGTCCTAGTTTGTTCAATAGAATTTAAAAGTGTGATTAACAGCTAGTATGGCAGTATGTAAAAAAGTGGATGTGTAACCGATGTGAATCTGCAATATGTATACGGGGTAAAAATGGGAGTTCATAATCTGCTTGAATCAAATGTATGAAATATGATATGTCAAGAGCTTTGTAATGTTTTGAACAACTAAAAATAAAAAAAAATTTAAAAAGTGTGATTAAAATGTGATTTATAAGAAATCAATATTTTGAAATCCTTTGATATCTATTTCTGGGGATTTATAGATTTCTGTATGTTAAGAATTTACCTATTTATCTGACTTCAAGAAAATTTTAAATATCCTCAAAGTGTTTATCCATGTATGTGCCTTCTTTAATGATGTGGTTGGTTTTCTTTGAGATTCAGTCAGTCATGATTGTTCTCAGGAGTATCTTGCATTCACAGAAATTTCTTTTTTATTGTCCCTTAAAATACACAGCATGTAACCATGCTGAATTTTAAACATTTCATCCATCTGCAAGTTCAGTAAGAGTCCCTCTTCTCCTCTCCTTCTCATTCTGGGGTCAACACATCCCTACAAGATGAAGATTCAGTGGTTAATAGTGCATGTTCCTCCAACACTCCTGGACAATATTCAGTTGTATTTTATAAAATGTAACTAGCCCTTCTCTGTTGATTTAGTCTTTTTTTTTAATAGGCTTTATTGTATCTATTTAATGTATTCAGTGTGATGTTATGGGGCATATGTATAAAGTAAGAAGTTTATGATAGCAAAGCAAATTGATGTATACATCATCTCCAATAGTTATGCTCTTTAGTTGGTGCTGCAAAAGGAGCTACAATTTAATCATTCAGTAAATTTCTGAATACAATTCACCAGCATTAACTACTGTCCTCATGTCATGCGTTAGACTTCTAACTAGACCTCTAGACATGTTTGTTCTATATATCTGCTGTTTTGCATGCTATGATTTCCAGTTCATTTCACCCTTTCTCCCACCTGCTTTTTGCTCCTGGGAACCACTGTTTTTATTTTTTCTATCTCTGTTTATTTATTTATTTTAAAAGATTCCACCTGTAGGTGAGAACATGCAGTGTTTATCTTTACCTGACTTATTTCATTTAGTATAATGAGCTCCAAGTCCATCCATAATGTGGCAAATCGAAGAACGTCCTTCTAAAGGCAGAGTAATATTCCATTGTATATACAGGCCACATTTTCTTATCTGTTTTTCCATCAGTGGAGACTTCTGTTGTTTTCACATTTTTGGCTCTTGTGAGCAATGATGCAAGGAACATGAGAATGGACTCAGTCTTATGAACATTTTCTCTTCAGAACATGCACATCTACCTTAATGCGTGAAGTATTCTGCATAGGGGAGGACAGATTCATTGAATGATCCTTCCAATGATGTGTATTTTATTTTACTTTTTATTAATTTACTTTTTTTTTTCTTTGCAGTGCTGGGAGTCCAATCCAGGGCCTTATGTATGCTATCCCTCTGAGCCACATCCCTAGCTCTAAGAGAATTCCCTTTAATTAAAATGAACTTTACCAGAGATACACTTTAAATGCCTTTTATTTTTTTCCCCTAGATCCCAGTCTTCAGTGCCAGGTATTTTAGGGGGGGGGGAATTAGATGATAATTGTAATAACCCTGCTCCATGTCAAAACTATCTCCTGAATAGGTAGTTTCTCCTTCTCCCAATCCTCTGGGCAGTATAGTTTAAGGTACTGTCTTCTAATTTCTAAATTATTCTGAGAACCTCTATCTCTTTTTCTTCAGCTTTCATTTCTTGCAAAGTCATTGTCACCTTGACACCAAAGTGATTCTTTTTGATTGCAAATTCCATCATATTCACCCCTGGATTGTACTCTTTCAGTGGTATAGGATAAAGTCCCTCTCCTTAGCAAGGTATGAGTGGCCTCTTATGAAGTAGTCTTTCTAGTGCCTACTTTCTTCCTGTGTCCCTCTTTCCATTTAGCCCGTGCATCTTGAATGTCACATACAGCTGTTTTTTCCTCTGAGGTTTTCCTGACCTTGCATACATGTCATTGACCTTGCTGGATCATGTTCCATTTTTCAGTCTTGTGAACTCCACCGGTCTCAATTCAGATGTCATCTTCACTTGCCTGGCTTTCTTCCACAGAGAGAGAACTTCCCTTGTTTACTTCTGTAAGCCTTTCTACCTTTTGCTACTCTAAGTATTTAAAAGGGTGTCTCCTACAGGCACCATGTTTTATTAATTGTGTTATCTCCAATATCTATCAAAAAGCCTGGAATATAGATGAGATTAACACAATATACATTCATTCAATGGACTAAGAGGATGAATGAATCAGGGAGAATTTTGCTTTGAGCAACTTGATTACCAAAAAATTAGAAAGGAACTGAAAGTCGGGCAGTGGGGGGACAGGGAAGAGAGAGCATAATTTTTGATCAACTCATCGAAAGTCCTCAGTATTTGTGAAAGACAAACAAAAGACAATGAACTATCCACCCTACCCCACTCCTCCCCAGCTTCCCACTGTCTCACCCTTGTTACTGATCCTCCAACATGGCGCGTGGGTCTACTTCCGGAGCACACCATTACTCCCAACATCAGTAAGTTTCTGCTTTTCTCTGAGCCTTGTGTCTGTGTTTTAATATTGTCATGACGCTTGTCACTTTGCTCAATCTGACGTGTCCCTCCTAACACTGATCTAGATTGAAGGGCAAAGATGTACCATTTATGAGTCGTCTACTTCAATGGAGATCAAGGGGAATTGAGACTTAATTTGGACTTTGGATGCCATTGAATTTTTTTTTTTTTTTAATGTACAAGCAGATTTGTGTTCCTTTAAATGTACTCTAATATTTGTTGCTGTTTCTAATTTGCAAGGTTAAGTTTTCAGAGGCTATTTTATCCAGGGACTTGCCTAAAATTGTGGTAATTGATTCCAGATGAAGAGGGAGCCTGGAAATGATTCTGTGGTTTAAATTGTGACTTCACATAAATGTGGATAAATAAAATGAAATTTAATACAAAAATCATACAGTTATGTCTCCCAATTAAGAAATTTTATTCAAACAACAAGGTGAAGAAAACACTTTCTCATTGCTAACTTAAGGACAGATAATACACAATTAAGAGCAACATTTTAAAAAGGTTAACCTCTAGGTTTAGCTGAAACCTCATCATGGAAATCAATAAAGTGATGTTGTTTATTTTAATTGTATTTCATTGTATTTCTAGCTTTGAAGATTAAATACAAAAGTTATCTTGTCACCTCCATTAATGGTCATAAAACCTGTTAGCCTCTACTGAAGTTTTCCTGGGTAGGTGGCTGGCATCTTGTTTACATCATTTTGATTTAAACCCCATGATAATTGCTCAAGTAGGCATTATTTTCTTTGCTTGGGAATGAGAATGCAGACCAGCAGTGGCGAAGGTGACATGCCCAGGGTGTTTCTGGATGGAAGGACGAAGGTTGACTCCAGATCTCTGTGACTGAGAAGTCTGTGCCCACGCTTCCTGCCACCTGCACACCTCCCCTGCCTTCATGCCTAGGGTTGGAGGCATTTCAATGCAAACTAACTCAGCTCTGTCACTTTGGGGATTCGATACATCTCCACATCAAAACCCTTCCTCGATCACCTCGTGTATTCAGTCACTAGATGGGTAAGCTTAAGGAGAGAAAGGCTGTTTTGTCTTTTTAGGGTTCCATTTATGGACTCATCATTCTACTTCCTCTGTGACAAGCAGGGAGGAAGTGAAATCGTATCTGAGTCTTGCATTTAGGCAATTGGCCCCAGACTTGGCTGGGCAGAATCACTGCAGGAGCCAATTGAAAGGCATATTCCAGAGTGTTAGCCTAGAGTACATCTGAGTTGGGACCCAGCTGTGAACTCATGACAAATGGTACCTGTAGGATTCTGATGTAGGTGGTACATTGAAGAGACTGAGAAATACTACTTAGACTCTAAAACCACATTGTCCCACAGAAAAGAAATGTGAGCTATAAATGGGTTGTTTGAAATGGTTGAGTTGTCACATTCCATAAGTAAAAAGGAAAGGGTAGAATTATTTTTAATAATATGTATCACCCTATATGCATTCAAATATTACTTAAAGTTGGAATCAACATTTCAATTAAGTTCCTTTTAAGTTTTATTTTTTTTTCATACCAAGTCTTTGCTATATTTTTGTGTTTAGGGTACTTCTCAATTTGTCCCAGCTACATTTTAAGGGTTCACTAGCCACATGTGGCTGGTGTCTGCCCTAAAGGAGGGTGCAGGTCTGGAAGCAGAGAAAGGGTTCTAGTCAGGATTTATTTTTTCAGGGATAGTTACAACTGAGGGCCACATGAGTTACCAGGCATGCCTTCAGATCAATTGCTGTGTCAGACCTGTCACACATACTTGGAGCTAGGCATGAAAGCAACTCAATATGAATCTAGAGGTAGCTCCTGAAGGTGATGCCAAGGGACAAATGAAGTGATAGTACAGAGAAGCAAGGGGGTCTTAGATAAGATTAGGGGAATGCTCCAGCATCCAGAGCACAGGGTCCAGCCCACAACATCTGGGGTGGTCTTGGGCTGGGGAGGGCTATAACGTTGGTGCATATGCTTAGGGCAGCTAGATAAATTTAGTTATCTATACAATGAGGAAGTCATAAAAGATTGTCTCTAAATCCTTCTCATCACTGAAATGAGATGATTCAGTGACTTTCAGGACCATACCTGTGCAAGTCCATGGAGAATGGTACATTTTTTCTATCTGGAAAACATTCTATTGAATGGTTGACTGCTGTCCAGTTCTGATCTTTTGGAATGGAACTTTAACATACAGTATCCTCTGCTGAGATAGACACATGGAATTTGAGTTTTGAACCCACATCTAATTCTAATTCTTTAAGGGCACGACCTTTCCCCGAAAGGCAATTTTAAGTTGTGCTGGAACAACTTAAAAAACAGAAGGTACTGCAGCTTTGAAATGGAAATATACAGTTGATTATCCACAAGTGATATAAAGGCATGGCTTTTGAGGTGCATGAATGTGGCTGTTTTGTGTTGCGCATTTGAAGTACATGTAAAGTTCAGAACCACCAAAGAATAAACCATTGACACAGCATTTTGAAATTTGTGATTAAACTTTGCATTCATAATTAAATGATAGTTCAGGTGGTTTGAGGTTGTTGGCCTATGCAGTCTCATGAACCAACACATCCTGATGGCTCACACATATATAGAGATCCAGATACACAGGTGCATCATCAAACCATTATTCTGAGCTTGTATTTACTGTGACTACACCAAGTACATTGGCCAAAGTGAAGTGAATTAATAAGCTGGCAGATATGGTACTCACAAACACTGAGGAGAAATAAAACACAAAGAATAAAAGGACATATTTGCCAAAATCTCATACGTGACATAATAAGTACATGAAGAAGGGTTAAAGAGAAGGGGAGAATATTTCAGACTCATATAGATGCATCATGATTCTTAAAGCCAGTAGAACTTGCATTGGTTTTTTGCGGTTGTTTTAAGTTTTCCAATACTACAGCCATGAGCCCACTATATAATCCTGTATAATTTCTTTCAATAGGTGAGTGGAATACCTGAGGGCATGGTAGCTGCCATATGCTGATGATATCCCAGGATATTTTAATTTAGCATGTGGTGAATGTCAAATGGCAAGAGGACTGTCCCTGTTCTAGCTCTGGTGAGCCAGGATGACAGACCTCAGGCTCAGAATAGCATATGGAGATTTCTCCACACCCCAAAGGGGACAACTGAGTGCTCTTCTCTACACAAAGGAAGGATGTGGGCTAGCATGTTCTGCATCAGTAGAGATAGTAGAAGGAAGAAGAGAGGAAAGTATAGATTAGAAACTCAAGTTCCACTTCTTGATATGACTGCAAATTTGTATATGGTAATATTAATCTTCATGGGTAGTCAACTGTACTTTCTTGACTGAAGTTGCTCCCAAGGTCAGTAAAATGACAAATTGAACTAATTCCTCAGCAATAATAATACTAATTAAAATGCCTTAAACTATAAAGTCCCTTATGTTGGAGCTTTGCACAATGATTCTGAGAAGAATAATTATTAACAAAGTGTGGTTTTTGTCTTGAAATAAATTTTCAAAAACCTACAGTTTGTACTTGGATGGATTGATGTGGCCCCTTGAATCTCTTAGATGTATTAAAAATGTTGGGGAGGTTCTTTTCTTTGTTGCACACAAATATTCCATTAGGTTCAAGTTTTCTTGAAGCATAAACAGAATTAGCATATTGTTCTATTGGCATGCTTTGAGATGTGTCACAGCTACCCTTTCTTTAAAATGTCTTCACTGTCTCTACCATGGTGCCTGATAATCCATGGTGATTCTTCCTCCTCCTTCTCTTCTTCTCTACCTCTTCATTCTATTTTCTTCCTCCCCTTCTTCCTTATTCTCCCCTTCCTTCTTTTCTTAACAGAACCTGGAAAATACCCATCAGATGTCAATGTTTTCTATGTGGGATATGACTCATACACATTAGCAACATAAGCATATATTTCAAAAGTCATACTCTATATTAATTATGTAGTCAATTCTAGATGGTCTGACATTTAGGAAATAAGCATACATTTTGCAGAGAGGGTAACTGTCAATAGGAGTCAAAAGCATACAGTGTTTTGGGGGGAGATGGTACAGGGTGGGGATTGTGAGTACCTAGGTGGAGTTGAGGGTACAAAGAGTTGAGTATGGGAGGTAGACAGTGATGGTGAGTGAGCAGTTGATTGAAGAAAAGGAGAAATATACCAAAAAATATGTAAATTAACAAAAAGGGCAAACATTGCTTAAGGAACAAATACCATTTATTATCTACAATGTTTGTTTTGTTGCCAGGAGGTAGGGGAAAGAGTCTTAGGACTCTTTTATCCATTGCTTCTTCTAAAAAGAAATTTTAATTAGGGAATCTCAGAAGAATATGTACAGAATATTTGAAAAAAAGAATGAATGTCAAAGAAAAATAAAGGAAGAATGACAAAAGAAAGGTTTGGTGTGGAAAGTGTATAGGAAGGAGTATTGCAAAATCGTGCATGATTAATCAATAAGTTAATTCTATTATGAGCTTCCTAGTGGTGAAAACAAAAAAGGGAGTAGGACCACTAACATTGAAAAAGGAGAGACAGTTTGCCAATAGAGTCTCACAGAGTTTTCTTATGAAAATTCACAATATAAATGTTGAATTAAATAGCAGGTAATTACTAAGTAAAATCTAAGGGTCTCTTATCAGAATATATAAAGAACTCATAACTCAACAACATAGGTTCAAACAACTCGATTAAAAAATGGGCAAGCAACTTGGATAGCTCTCTAAAGATCACAAATGGCAAATGGCCATACAAAAAATAATCAGTATCATTGGGGATCAGGGAAATGCTAAGCAAGACTACAATGAAATATTACATCACACCATTAGGATGGCTCTAATAAAAAAATTTAGAATATAGTAAGTGTTGGCCAAGATATTGAGAAATTGGAAACTTTGAGCATTTTTGATAGGAATGTAACACTGTACATCCACCCTGGAGAATAATTAGGTGCCTTCTTAAAACGGCAAACATTGATTTACTATATAATTCAGCAAATCAATACATACCCCAAATCACTGAAATCAGAAATTTGGTATTTAAACAAACACCTGTACTTGAATGTTCCCAGAAGCTCTATTCACAACAGCCAAAAGGCAGAAACAATACAAGTGTCTATCAACAAACAAGTGGATAGACAAAATATAGTCTATCGATACAATAGAATATCATTTGGTCATAAACAGAATGATGTTCTGACACATGGTATGACATGGATGAATCTTAAAAACATAATGCCAAATAAAGGAAGCCAGAAATGAAAGGGCACATATTGTGTGACTTCACTTATATAGAATATTGAATACAGTTAAACCCTTAGAGACAGAAGGTTGGTTAACACCTGCTAGTGAATAGGGGAAAGAGATGACTTGAGACTTAATTTTGTGGTCATGAAAAAATTCGGTAGATATAATGTTGAATGTACTAAATGCCAATTTTTAAATTTTATAGTATATGACTTTTACCTCAATGAAAATTAAATGTGGAATTTGGGCTATACAGATAAATGAAGATGAGTTGGCTTTGTGCAATCCTATGGATATTCTTTCTCACACTATGGATTTTCTTAGAAAGTCGGGCTGTTGAAGGCTGTAGTCTTGAACAGGAACATGGTGTACAGGAGGATCTTGTGTTGTTAACAAAGGGGAGACTCATATTTGAAACACCCAAGCAAAGTTTTGAGTTGACACGGTCATGAAAATTAAGGTGCTGATTAAACCAGTTACCTGAGCAGATGGCCCATCCTTTATGCAAAATAATTATGAGCCAATGACGTCCCCACACGTAGAGGCAAGTTTTGTCTCTGGATTCATTTCAATGCATGAATCAGAATATCATTGAGTCTTTAATGTTACATAGAACAGAGCAATGGTTTTAAACTATGTGAGGGAGAAAATACATATCAGAGTAATTTAAAATTTATACAAAATATCATGCTTGACTTTCCAAGCCTTTAATCCACCAGGTAAAAAACATTGTCACAGAACTTGAATATCTTCTTCATCTTGGAAACATTATAAAACAGAGCCCACACAAAAATATGAATATGCTCATCAAGTGTAATTCTGAGCATTGCAACTTCCTTATATTTCCAAGCAGGATCATTGAGAGCTATCTTAATCTTCTTATAGAGTTGTATATCATATCACTAAATTTCAGTCAATATAACATCACAGAAATAAAGATTAGGACTTCAAAGGTGTGTCTTGAGCTTTCTTTTTAACAATAGCAGCTTTGCAGTCTGGTTGCCTTTTGGGAATAATTCCAGTTTGTAAGAATGAAGCCACATTTTTTTTTGAATAGAAAAGGCTTCTTTATAAATCATTATAGTCAGTGGTTTATGGATCTATATTAGAATTTATTATCTTAGAAAACAGAAAATAGTCTTTGAATTGACATTGTACATATAAATTTAATTATAAAATGGATTAAAAATTACTCTCACTTCCACAGTGTGTCCCAAATTATCTTGCAAATTCAGAAATGCTGGTAAAAGTGATTTGAAAACCATTATTCCAGGTTACTTAAAGCCTATGCTTTGTAGGGACTTAAAAAAAAAAAAAACGGAGAGACAGTGGTTTTTATTTTTCTTCCTCTGACTACATTGCTTAGGCTGGCCTGAAACTCCTGGGTTTAAGTGGTCCTCCTGCATCAGCCTCCTGAGTAGCTGAGACTATAGGCACTCAGTACCATGCTCACCTTCAGAGCTAGTTTTATTTGATTACTATGCAAGGATAAGGGGAGAGGGAGCACAGGTGCATTCACACATTCACCTTGGGTAGAATAATCAGACAATATATCTTTGTCATCTTTGATATGTAACATTTAATCTGCTAAGACACAATTTATGCAATATGCGACTCCTATGATTGCATTAAAGAACAAGCTCTTCAGAACTTTCAAAAGGAGAGATGCCTATTATACTCATGCATCTCCAGCTGTGGAGCTTGGCTATCCATTAAAATGCCTTAGGGCATTTGTAAAACATAAGAACCTGGGGTCTTATGCCAAGAGGTAATGCTTTAATAAACCTACAGCAATTATAATGCACCTAGTTCTGCATTAAACGTCTATGAGACTATTCTTTTGGGATGTTGCTTTGTTCTCTTTTCAGTTTTGAAGTGGATGGATTGACCAATTCACGTGGCAAACTAGGTTGTATTTGTCTTAACACATTTATACAGAAATTAAATAAAAATATAATAATAATCAATTGTGGATCAGTTGTGTGTAAAAGGCCTTTTTGGATTTGGTATAGAATATTAATCTTTAACTAAACTACACATGCAAGTTTTCAAGGTGTTTACCATAATTCTATACTATGCAGTCAATATTTTGAGTATTTAAATTGAATTTACTGCCCCTCTTTGATCATGAGAAACAGGACTAATGTTCCCCAATGTGCATTTATTGTGTGCTCAAAGTCCATGGATGTCAAATCTATCATGGCATTCGAAAATAGATAAAAGGCCGTAAAGACTTGACTAGATAATGACCTGCTTAAGGCCCTTGGTTAAATGGAATATTTTCAGTGAGACCTTCTCTAATCCCCCTATTAAAATTACAAATTCCTTCTCCCCAATTCTGCCTGACAGCCATTCCTTCTTCATTTTTCCTCATAATTCTCATCACCATCTAATATACTACCCTTACTTACTTTTTAATGGGCTTCCTCTTCTCATAATACAAGGTCTAAGAGAGCAGAGATTGTTGATGGAATTCTCTAAGAAGTAGCCATCTGATGACAGTTATCTTATCCTATGATTGACCATGGATGAAACCACTCTGAAGGTCCAAACTCTATAGTAGGAGAGAGTGAGGAAGGGCAATTCCTTAGCACTTGGTGGAAGGAGCTAAGTGGATTATAGAGGAGAGAACTTTTATTCACCTGGGCCCCTCCTGGGAAAACAAACTAAATATCTTACTGAGTTAAAATAATCTAAAAATGGAAGCTCATCAGTGAAGGTGTTAAGAGTTAATCTTGGTGTAAATTGAATCTATCAGAACTCTTTCCTTTACAAAATCAGCTTTATCTTATCTTGTCAGGTAAAAGAAAATTAATAATATTCAGATGCACGTGGGTGTGTCTATAAAACTTTCCTATGAAGGATAGTTAATTGGCTACCTCTTTCTTCTTGGGTGCCAGCATTACATCTCACAGGCCACCCATGAGAATGCTCTCAGATCATGGCATTCTCTCTGCTGAACTACAGTTTATTTAACTGGAACACCCTTGTGAGCAAGATGGAACCAGTTTCTTCTTGACAATCTTGGATGACGTTTTCTTAAGACATTTCCAGGAGGAGTCCTTCTGGTGGAGGGGAACATTCCAGGATGAGAGGCAGGGCAGGTTACTGAATTGCAGGACCCAGCAAAAAGTGAAAATGTCGATACTGTTTAAAAGTTATTAAGAATTTCAAGATGGCAACAGCAGGACATGAAATCAAGCATAGGACCTTTCAAAGCTGGCGTCTTGTGTAATTGCATAGGTCAAATGCCCATGGTGCTGGGCCTGCTGGGAGGTAAGGGAAGTAGATCAAGGAAAGATTTTTTTGTTTGTTTGTTTGTTTGAAAATGTCATAAGGTGACTCTTGAAGAAGATGTTTCCAAGGCATAAGAGACCGAAAACATGAGGACAGAGACATGGAGGAATAAGTGGTAAGAGGTCCCATTAGTGACTGATGAGAGGAACAGGTCAGAAAGGTTGTGACACTTTATTCAGAGGGTAAAGGGTTTTAAGCAAGTAGGAGGAGACACTCATTTGTGTCTCAGAAATATAACTGAGAGTCATGTGGAGGGTGGACAGGTAAGGGTGAGCCTGGTGACAGGAAACATTCTATGTTTTAAAGCAGTGTAGGAGATTGAATAATGGCCCCATGATTTAGGTTTGAGTCTCTGGAACCCATAAATGGTTCTTTAGGATCTAGTTTTCTAGGGCTGCTGTAACACAGTACGACAAACCAGGTGGCATAAACAATAACAATTTTTTTCTCCATGGTTTTGGAGAGAGGAAGTCTGAGTTCAAGGTATCATCAGGGTTAGTTTATTCTAGAGGCTAAGGGATCTATTCCTGCCCTCTCTTCTTGAATCGTATGGATCATCTTTTAGCAATCAAATTGGATTGGGACTCACCCTCATTCCTCTCAAATGACCATGTCTCCAAAGGTCACATTCTGAGTTATTGGGTGTTAGGACTCCAGCATATGAATTTTAGGTGGACCCAATTCAATCCATAACACCTTACATGCCAAAAATGCTGCAGAGGTGATTCAAGTAAGGATCATGACATGGGGAAATTTTCCTGGGTGACCTGGGCAGGCCTTAAATACAATCATTAGCGTCCCTCTAAGGGAGAGGCAGAGGGGGTTGAGATACACTGAAGGGAGGAGGCAGTGTGGCCGTAGAGGCAGAGGTGAGGAAGATGTAGGCCCAGTCCTTTGGATGCCCACAGCCACCAGAAGCAGGGAGAAGTACGGCTCTGCTGACAGGCTTGATTTTGGCTCAGTGAAACTGACTTCCAGCAGGCGTGTAGTGATTTGTTACACTGGCTGTAGGAAAAAGAAAGAGTCAATATTTTGAAACAGCTAATAGGATAAACTAAACTTGGAGCACAAGGAAAGAACAAAGAATTTAGAAAGGAGGGAAATCACGTGGTGTGCTCAGGGCTGGCCATGAGATATGGGAGGAGGAGAAGCTCCTGAATGTCCACTGGATTTGTTTTGTGTACCCACCATTCGTACTCACTGGGTCAGACAGGAGGAGAAACTAATTTGGGGAATTGAATCAAGAGTTGAGTTTTACGGTGACAGTATTTGATCTTCCCATGAGTATCTAGGTGAGTATCTGGATTTATGAGCAGAATGCCAAAAGGGTAAATATTAGATTAATTATGGAGTAGTAATTTATGTCATGACATCCTTTTTTCTCCCCTTTGCATTCTAATATTTATAAAAAATTTCTATTTTGGCCAAACTCTCTGTTTTATAAATTCAGTGAAGTCCGTGGGTATGGGAATGGGTATTTTTTTCTTCCTCTGACTACTTTGCCTAGGCTGGCCTGAAACTCCTGGGTTTAAGTGGTTGTCCTGCATCAGCCTCCTGAGAAGCTGAGACTATAGGCACTCAGCACCATGCTCACCTTTAGAGCTAGTTTTATTTGATTACTGTGCAAGGATGAGGGGAGAGGGAGCACAGGTACATTCACACATCCACCTTGGGTAGAATAATCAGACAATACATCTTTGTCATCTTTGATATGTTAACATTTAATCTGTTAACATTTAATATGTTAACATTTAATCTGTGACTCCTATTCAAGTGCTTGGCTCTTTGCCTTTGGGACAGACAAGAGGGAAGATGACCACATGTTCCAGTTTTCCCAGGCAGTGCTGGGCTTTGCCTAGAATCTTGGGGTCCCTTCATGTTGATGTCCCCTTTTACTCAGGAATTAAATAGTGCAAATATGCTTCAATTTAGGATGGGTTTGCTTCTTGACAGATCCGTGGTAAGTTGAAAATATCCTAACTTAGAAATGCATTTGACACCCCTAACCTTCCCAATGTCACAGCTGGGAAACATAGTCCATTGTAGAGGGTCCTTTGTTCCCTAGTGATCGTGGGGATGACTGGCAGCACCACTACCTAGAATCCTCAGAGAAGATTGGTTACATATCGATAGTCAGGGAGATGATCCCAATTCAAAACTGAAGTAGTTTCCACTGAGTAACTGTCACTTTGGCACTATGTACATTTGAAAAATTGTAGGTTGAACCATTATAAGTTGGGACTGTCTAATTGCAATGTATCATTTGGTCATCTCTATGATAAAGATCCTTTCTGTTTTGTACTTCTCAGGCCTAAGAATAAAATGAAGTCGGATCAGGGTCTTGAGAAGGGTGCTTCTTATTTTATCTTAGTTCATTTTATTCATTTAATTTTCACATTACCATGGGGGAAGAGAAGTCAGTGTGTGGCACTTGAGTATTACCCCCAGTGCCCCAGAGAAAAGAACAGTTGCTTCCTGGGCAAAGTCAGGGTGAAAAGATGCTTAATAAGACCATACAAAACAAAAACCCAGAAACTGTTTTCAGAGGCTGGCCAGAATGAGTACAGGATTGAAAAACGCCAGGCTTTCTCTCCTTTATACTGGCAGAGATGTTTGTTGATATTTTAAAAATATTTTCAATTATCTTGTCAATGTTTGCATCTCCATTTATGGGCACTCAGTGTTCACTGGCAGCTGCCCACCACCTTCCACTATGGCCTGTTGCAGTTTTCATTTTCCGCTCCTCACTACATTGCAGCACACCTGAATGCACTCAGCAATGCTCAGAATTGCTGATGCTAGCCGATGAAGCAGGTACTTGGAGGAGGTCTCCATGTCATTTCCTTGTTAGTCAGATGTGACAATGTAGAATACTGGGTCCCCGCGAAGTTGCCTTTATTCTCTAACAGTATGTCCTGGTATGGAACTTGACAATCATTGGCCTCTGGGGAGTACTGGTGTGACGAGGTGCTGGGAGCTCTGTGTTGCATAGGGTGAGTATTCTCTTCTGAACATCACCAGCTCATGTTTCATGTTCCTAACAAGTGGACTCTGAATAGAGAGGCTTCTTGTATCACATTAGCCACATGGGCCAAGTGAACTCAGTCGCGTAGAGTATCGGAGGCCACTAGTCACTTCATGTAGATTGGTGTAACTTGTAAAATATTATTATTCCCATTACACAGATGAGGAAACATAAGCTAAAGGATACATGAGCCTCCTAATTTTACAAAGCAAGGACATGACAGGGATAATACTTGAATTCAGATCTTTTAGGTTCCAGAGTCGATTTTTGTTTTATTTTCTTGTACTGAAAGGTGAAATGAAAGCACCAAGATAACAACTAATTCATTGCACTCGAGAAATTTATATTTGTACATATTCAAGGATTGCCCTATAATAAGACAGACCAGTGTTCTAATGACTTGTATTGATTTTCTGTGGCTGATATTTGCACTACTACGTAAGTATAATTCTACCGAAAATTGTGATATTGTAATACAGGTTTCCACGTGTTTCAGTGCTAAAATCCCTGTTGAATTCAGCTGTTACATCTTTTTCAATCCTTTTCCAGTCTTTCACACACTCAGAGAGGATGAAGAAGTTAATCTTTATATTTAAGTGGCACTTTGTATTTAAAGTTAAGTTGTGGTTTGAGGCCCAGTGTAGAACGCTGTTCCGTCTTAAGGCAATGAGACAATATTGCTCTATTATGAGCATTATTTCCCGTCCTGCTGTTGGGGTCTGTCCCCTTTCAGAGCTTAAAGTAAGAATTCACAGTGTTTTGTCATCCATGATGTATGCTAAAATCACAGGTGGGGAGGTGTGAAGAATTTTTATTCTCACCATCTTTATGATGTTAATGATTCTCTGGACAAAACCACTTCATTTTATATAAAATTAAAAATTCATAACCTGTGAAAACTATAAAGAGTTTCTACAGGCAAACCACTGACTAAGTGAGTCTAGTCAATTCTGTTTGTACTCCTACTGACAAACAGGAAAAGAAAGAAAGAAAAAAAAAAACTTTAAAAATTCTTTGACCCTGCTTTTTGCCATCTGAATGGTCATGGTTGAGTGGAGAATCAATGAAGTGCTGAGAGAATTGCACCTCAGTGTTGCCCGACAAGCCACACAAAAATCCAACTTTTCACATGAGATGAAGATTGCCTTTGCTTCATTTACTCTCTTAAGACACATTAAAATCAAAGCTATCACCCCATTCGGCCATCTGTCAATGTTCCCTACACAGTACTCGGGTAGACTTTGTTCCTAGATCACCAGAATGGGAGGATGTTTTTGTTGTTGTAATAAATGGTTTTAGGCTTAAGAGACAGAAATAAATCAATGCAATTTATAAAGTTGTGGTGAAAATGTTTGATGCAGTTTTCTAAACTACAGAGAATCATATATGGCTGAGCTGCAATAAATAAAGCATAGCTTTAGCAGTTTACAAAAATAAATGATAAAGATGAAATAATGTATAGCCTTTTATTTGGAATCATTTATTGCTTTCACAAGATGCATATAGCCATCCTTTGCTCATTAAATTGCAAATTTCATGTTTGAATGTAATATGGTGAATAAAGGCTCCCAATTTCCCTTCTAAAGTTCAATTTCCAGAGTTTTGTTTAGAGTAAGACCACAAACCCAAAAACCTAGTTTCCTCAAGTTCCCAGACAATTGTTCTCCTGTTTATTAACAATGCACTGACTTTTAACAATGGCTTGTATTTTTAGATGGAACATACTGAATTCAGTTTGCTGACCCTGAACGCAGTTAAACACAAGTGCTCGCTCTGCAGGTGGCGATTAATAGAACTTGTGTGGCCAATGTCTTCAGAGCTGTCCCAGGGAATGGGGGCGCCTGGGCTTTGCTGACAAGCACATAGAGGCTCTTATTCTTCTCACCAACAGCCTCCACAGCTCTGGTTTATCGTTTGTGGTGGATCAAACCCCTACCTCTGTGGGTGGATTTTACCAAGCACAAATTTCTTCAGTGTAAGCAACTCTTTAATAACCAGCCAGTCACTGATTCTTATAAATAGGGTTTTATACAGAGATTTGTGACTTTGTTGGCAATGCAGACCAAAAAATCAGGGTACAAAAAAATAAATAAATAAAATGTGTTCTATTGGAAAAAAAAATCACTGAATAATATAAAAATCCAACCAAAATGGTTTCCTCTCATAAAGGACACTTTTTTTTTCAATATTCAATTTGTTTTAATGAAAATCTCATTTTAGTTTTAATAACATTATGTTCCTGGAAAAAGTGAGATATAATAACAACAATAAGTAATGTTCTGTGAAACACTAGTAATACTCATTAACTGGTATTCAGGTTTATGCAATAGTTTATATTATTACCTTTTATCTCCGGAAAGTCTCTTACTTAAGTACATGTCAAACACTCAGAAATATTGTAATGAAAAATAGTTACAATTTTCAATTCTGTTGTTCCCAAATCTATTTGAACACAGAACTATTATTTGTCTTAATATTTGCTTATATTTTGCAGAAAAATTTTTGACAAATTCACTTTGGTAGGGGCTGCCAATGACACAAAGAAGCATTTTCCAGAGATCTTTACCGTCTTCCTATGTATTTCAACAAACTCCCCAAACCATAGAATACATAATAAAAAATGTGAGCCAAAATGTAAACTATGGACTGCAATTAATAATACTATATTAATATTGTTTTATCAACTGTAATAAATGTACCACACTAAAACAAGATGCTAATCATATGAGAAATTAGAGCTCTGAGGGTAAATATGGGAACTTTACATTTTCTCATTTTTTCTAAACCCAAAACAGCTTTTTTAAAAAAGAGTATTCCTAGAATTAAAAAAGCATATTCCTAGAATTAAAAAAAAGAATATTCCTAGAATTCATGAAAGTTAATTAAAAAAAGAATATTCTTAGAATTCATGAAAGTTGACTTTTTACTTCCTTCTCCCATTAATTTCCAAGAATAAGGCAGTATCAAGATGTTAAATAATTTTATTTCTGATAGGGTACAGCAGCAAGGACCTACAGTCACCCATGTCTGCCAATTGTGATAGGAAGGTAAAGTGTGGCGTGTGCACAAGATAGACCAGACTTAAGACTTTGGAGGTGTGTGAGCACTGACCTTATGCACTGCAATATGGAAGCTCTCAGAGATACAGTGTTAAGTCAAATAAAAAACAGAAAAGAGCAAGAGTTATAGCATATCATTTAAGTGAATTGTAAGACAAACTTTTCAATTTTGCCATTATATAATTAATGTCAAATGTTTTATATATGTATGAGATATCTATACCTAAATGAACATATGGAAGACAGATTTAAAAGTTCTACATTAAATAGACTAGAGCTCAGTGCCTATACTGGGAGGAGAATGATTTAGTAAGCAAAGAGAACGATGGAAAAGTACAAAATAAAGCCGAATGCAAAGTAAAGCAACACAATATTACATCATAAAATAAAATAATATAATAATAAAATAAAGCAAAAGTTTTCCTTGCACCAATAATAATAATAATAATCTGGCGTGACTCAATGCTGGCCACTTGAGGTCCAAGAGAAAGACAAAGAAAAACCAAAGGGTCACAGTTGATTCTGATATATTGGTCCATGTTCTACAGTATGAGATCCTGTCCACTTGTCCCAGCTGTAGGATTCCCTGTCTCTGTGTCTCCCTTCCTGAGTAATGGTGGCACAATTGAGGGTGACTGAAGCCCTCCAAATGGCGATTAGAAAGGCTAAATACTATTACAGCTTTCAGAATCATGCTCATTTGGGATCTATTATATAGAAATTGACTGTGGCCAGTTACAAATTCAAGCCCTTCTCTTGCAAATGAGTTTTATATAAAAATGCTGGAAAATCCCTTTCACCGTTAAGCCTCAGGCTACTTTTCTGTCCAAGGCTGCCCTCCTCTGATTGCCTCTTCTCTTTGGGGCAAGAAATATGTGTTAAAATCGCTTCTCCCTTTTCTCTGAGATTGTGTTTCTGTATGTGTATTTGTATCGGTCTGCACTCCCATCCCATCCCAGGCTCTGTCCCTCTCCACTCCCACAACCACACCCATAGCTCTAACTCTAGCTCCAACTGTATCTATGAATACAACACTTGGAAGAACTCTGAAAGCTCATAATTGCTATTTGCTTGTTTATTTATTCAAACCTGCTGCTACCTACTCTTTCCCTTGAGAGATTTTACATCCCAGGATATTAACTATAGAAAAAGACACTCTTTTCTGCATGCTCTACAAATAAGCATTTGCGAAGGCATTTAACTGTGTTTCTCTGAGGTGGACAGACCAAAGAAAATAAAAATAACAAAAATGAAGGAGACATTACTAACACCTCCTACATGGTGCTTACAGGATGGTTTCTAAATTTTGACTTTGACATTGAGCTAGCAACTGAGAACCTCATTCGTTTTTTTGGTTTTTGTTTTTTGTATTACCTCAAGGATGAATCTCATCAAACATTTCCTTCATTTGTTTCTTCAGTGAACATTTCTTTGCATGCTAGAGGAAAAACACATAGAGCCCCACACACAGCAAGAGTGGATCCCCAGTACAAGGCACCTCATTTGCATTTGGAAGAATCTGTGTCCTCCTGACTTATGCTGCTGGCATCTAAATGACATTGCTTCACCCAACTGTTGCCAGCACATGTAATTTTATTCCCAGTCATATAGATCATCCAACCCTCCCATGTGACCAACAGTGTTTGCTTTTAGTCCTCTTCCAGTTCATTAATGGCCTTCATTGTGAAATGCTATAATAAAATGTGTGGGAATATTTCACTTCGTTATATAATTTTTGTTCAGAATTTAATGGGAATTAACAGGCTCACCATATTACCCATCTGACAAACACAACATCAAGTAATTTTCCAATAGACCTCCCCTTGCTTTCTTAAGTTATTGAAGGTAAGTCTGACAGAAAATAGAAGGTTGTGATGCTAATAGCTTGGTGGCCTTTTAACTAGGTGGTTAAGAACCATTCTCTCCACTTGCACACCTGTTGTATGAACATCTGTGCATACAGTGGGTACTGTAGATGCTTCCTGACATAAAGTCAGTGATACTCAGGATACTGACAGAAAACTCTTACCCTCTCTGACTGCCTGTTTCTGTTTACTTTTGCTTCTTATCAGATACAGTTTGAGAGGATCAACCCTGTCAGGGCACACTGCTTCTAAATACCCTCCAAAATGCCTGACATCTTATGATTCTACTTACATTTCTTTGAGTGTGGAAGGCTTTACCAGGGCTTTACTACAGGTGATGAAGGTCCAGTCTCCAGATTCATCATGGTTTGGGAACCATCAAAAGCTGGACCAGGACACCTCCCACCATGGTGGCTGCCATCTGGAAACCTATGCAGCCCATTGTCCATATATTCATCAGGGACACTGGGAGTGGTCAACCTGTTAGACTGTCCAGATCTCTGGCTCTGCATTTGACTTCTGACATCGAGACTGAGTAGCACCCAATCTGCAGTATCTTAGTTTGGGTTGAGATCCTCCTTCCTAATCTCTCAGTGGATTTAGACCCTCTTTCTGCATGAGGTTTAATCACTTGCACAGGGTTCACTGGTTTTCTAATTGTGTACCCACTCGAATCTAAGAGCTGCCACCCACCTATTTCTCTTATTGGTCACATCCATTCCATTTACTAGTATACTGTCACCAATCTGCTTGGGCTGGAATTCAGTCCACATTCTTGGTGTGCCTTTTGTCCCAGTCATGTCCCTAACCCGATTAGGATCAGCTTTAGGTTATTTGCTTTACCTATTTCCTTTCCAAGTCTGTGCCAGTTTGGGCACTGAGATTTCATGTATTCAGATATATTACGTATACTCACTTATTATGTACAAATGCCATCTGTATTTGTTAAATATTATATAGCATAATTATAGGTGCAGTTAATTAAAATTAAATTCTGAACAAGAAATTATGTTATTACAGTACTGAGAATAAGATATATATGTAAATATGTAAAATAATATATATATATATATAATTTTTATATTATTTATGTACATGCTGTAGTATGTGCATGCATATCATATATAATTTGACTGATATACTATAAAAGCCCAAACCTACCACCAAAAATAAAACCATCACGACCTTGTACATATATTTTCTCCTTAATCCCTCCTTTAAATTTCAATTAGAGAAACAGTGTAGTGAAAATTTTTATTCTTTCCTTCTCAGAGGCAGCAATGAATGCAGAGCACTGGAAGATGTCCCTAAGGACCCCACTGGGACATAGGAATAATCAAGATGGCACTTCATTTGAGCATAGTGACCATAGGTATGACCCCTAATCTAGGACATATGCTGGTAATGGTATAGGGCATTTTATATAAATATTGTGCTAGAGAGTCTAACGTAATGCTGTACCAGCCACTCTGAAATGGGCAGAAAAAAAAAATCCCTTTCTTATCACTGGAGCATATGAGTGCATCTTTTATTAAAGATGACTTCCTCTCAGTTTTCCAGATTGAGAGCCTGTACTGTGAACCGGACAAGATCATTAATATAATGTAAAATTCTGGGTATATCTTTTGATGTTTGAGGTAGTTAGAACATTTAAAAAAAAGTCCTGAAAAAAAATTAGGCTGGCACCTATATTTTGAGGCTTTCAGGGCATTTTGGAAGTAATGTATGTATTCCTAGCGTTTGGATCAGAAAGGTAATGGAAGTTCTTTCCAAGGCAAAAGAGACAATGTGAGGAAAAGATCCAGCTGTTCTTTGTATCTGTTGGAAACACACATCAGAACAAAGGCAAAACAGCCGAGAACTGGCCAGGTCATTAATGCCTTTCACACAGGCAGAGTGGAAAGAGATGTGGCCACCCTCAAACACTCAGGCATCGGAGGTAACTTTTATTTCATCCATTCTGCTCCTGAGAAGTTGACATTATAATAATGAAAAGCGTGTCAGGTTGGTGAGACTGGAATGGAGTGTGCACATTTGTTAGCATTGCTGGCTGCATGGGTACTTTTGTTGATGAAATGAAGTACTCCATAATATTAACTCATTATTTTTATGCCACTTGTTATTAATGTTCTCAAGGGCATTGCAAATTACATTATGCTATTTCTTATAGTTGATTAACATAGAGCTTTGTGTTCCCTTTGTTGGTTAAGAAATTGGGATTATTTTTAGGAAAAAAAGAGATTATTTACACATATTTATTTTTTCTCATAGATTTCAAATTCAATGTATCTTTTTCCAAACAGGCCAGAGTAGATGAAAAATAAAGAGACAGAAGAGGGAAAAATACGAGAAAGCTAGAAGATACCAAGAGATTCTCATGCAGCATTTTATTTGAAAAATAAATAATTTATTTTAACTGACAAATAGTAAGTGTATATATTTATGGGGTGCGGTTTTGGTACATTTCTGATATATGACTTTAATGTGTAAGAGTCAACTCAGGATGTTCAAGCTGCTCATCTCAAACATGTATCACTTCTTTGTGATAAGAGCATTCAAAGTCTTCTCTTGGAGGCATTTTGAATTAAACAGTACAAAATTGGTAACTATAATCATCCTTCTGTTTAGCAGAACATCAGAATATCAGAATGTTCCCTCCTATCTGGCTGTGACCTTGCTCCCATTTATCATTGTCTCCCCTACCCTTCCTGGCCTCTGGTAGCCACTGTTCTGTTATTCTACCTTTTCTCTCATATATATCTAAGAGGACTTTTGGAAGTATCATGCATAAAACAGAGATTGATTTAGGAAAGAACACAGGAAAAATATAAAGGAAGGACTGTAGTAATTGCTAATATACCCTCAAGAGGAGACAGGGATTTCTTTTCTCTAATACTACACAAAAGCCCATATAGTGGCTTGATCTGCAGAACCCCAGTCCCTTGCTCTAGAGAAAACTTACTACTTCTAAAGAGTTGCCAGCATACAACTCACCAAACCCTTCCCCCTATCTTTAGTCTTATACCTACAATGTTCCTTTTTGTCTCTTTAAAAAGTGTACAATAAGTTTGTATCATAGAGGGAAAAAAAATCAAATAGGACAGTCGGCAGGCATTCTGGCAATGTAGTCAGATGGCACTGGGATCCTTAAAAGTCATTCATGTCTGGGAGTGGCCTTTATTGATGTTTTCAACACCCATAAAGGCAGCCAGATCCTAGTGCTAGGAATGTAACCAAGCATAGTTGACTTCTTTAACCTGAAACCTTCAAACCTGAGTGCATCACTAGAAGCCACCACGATGAAGCAGCAATTAAATGCTAAATAAGGCTTGAACCAGCAATTAAATACTGAATAGAACTTGCATCTCAATTTTCTTTATTCCTAGTTTACATCATTGGCGAGTCTGTTTAAATGTCTTTGACAAAGAAATAGTATTTCTATTATACTACTCTAGATACTCCTGCCAATAATATTCTTATGGGCAGTTGTTAAGAATATTATATATATTTTTAAATCAGCCATAAAATGATATATTTGACTGAACCATGTGGTCAAAAGAACTGAAAATATCACAGTCATGAACATAAAATAATTTTAAAAATTACTAAAATTTATTGTGCATACACCGTCTCAGACATCATTCTAAATTCTTTGTATGTGTTAACTTATTGCCTCAGAATAACAGCAGGAAGTAGTTTTTTAGGAAAATTGAGCATATAAAACTTAACTGTCCCAAAGTTGTTCAACTGGTTAAGTGATTGAACAGAAGTTTGTAGTGAATTTGACTTGGGTTGTATGTTAAGCTTTCCTCTTTATTATTTTATTTTATTTATTTTATTGCAAGACTAGTGAAAGAGAAGACAGCAGTGATATCTGACCTTGATCACTGATGTATAATTTATGATATGTAAGTATTTTGCATTATGAGAATGAACCAATCTATCCATTACTGAATTCATTATCTTTGTCATTAAAACTGACTTGGGCAGCGTAACTTTTCTGTCTCTCTTCTCTTTCCGTTGGAGGCACCGGGATCTTTGCAGTAATACATACTCAAAATATCCTAGAACACACATCCTTTGTCTATTCAACAACTTCCTTTTCCTCATTCAAGATTCAGTTAAAGAAGTACCCCTTCTGTGGACTTCTCCACACTCCCCAGGGAGGCTGGGCTTCACTTACCTCTTGGTTTTACTGTGGGATGGTTTCACTTGGTTCCCAAATGCAAATTCTGGTGTCTCCATCAGCTGTCTCAGAATCCCTGGGGAGCTAGAGAGAGATCTGGGCCAATCCTAAAAGATCCAGAATTAGCATGTTTTCCCCAAATTGCCCACTCATTCATTCTTCCATCTTTTCTTTTCCTTTTCCTTCCCTTCTACCCCCCCCCCCCCCCCCCCCCCAAAAAAAAAAAAGCTTCCAAGTGATTATAATGCTTGGCAGGTTTGGGAACTACCTAAAACTGACACCTTCTCCCTCATTGCTTTCCATGCCGTCTCTGGAATAGTGGTTCCTAGAACCCAGATCTACATCCTCAGCTGCCACTGAAGGGAAAAAAAAGTGACTCAGATTGACACATGGAGATTTTCGGGAAACTTAATTATGGAGCAAATATCAGCATTAGCTTGACTCAATCCTAATTGTACTATCATTAATGTCATATTATCAATTATTTATGAGTGGTCTAAATTTAGTGAAAAACAATTTTATTATGTTCTCTAAGTTCGACTTATCAGAGCAGAAAATTTCTTAGTAATTTCAGATAAGCAAATTTTATATTTGTGATATATAAGTGGTTAACTTAGTTATTTGGAAGATCTGGATTTCTAGAACGATTCTATCCAGAGTTCTAGGTAACTTAAGCTTATTATACTAAAATTCCATTCTATTGAAGAATTATGTTGGTATTATAGAAATATTTCTGTTTAAAAAACATATAATAAAACTTTTAACCCATTTAAGTACTTCTAGTTTTAAAAGTCTTTAACAAAACTAAAAAGTTAAAACTTTTTTCCTACTTATTGGACCATTTTTTTAAAAGAGAGAGTGAGAGAGAGAAAGGGAGAGAGGGAGAGAGAGAGAATTTTTTTTTAAATATTTATTTTTTAGTTTTCGGCAGACACTACATCTTTGTTTTGTATGTGATGCTGAGGATCAAACCCTGGCCGCACATATGCCAGGCGAGCGCGCTACCGCTTGAGCCACATCCCCAGCCCCTTATTGGACCATTTTTTATGAGTCTTCTTCACTAGTTGCTTCAGCATGAAGCTCAGAAAATATAATGATCTTGTCTTTCATAAACACAGTGTTATTATCACAATGATAGTAGTAATTCAAAACTATTACGTATTATTGAGCCCATAGTCAAATTCCAGCACTTATCAAAATACATTTCCTAGTCACTTCTTAAAAGTCAAAAGTAAAATCAGAACTGTTCAAATATAATGTGCTGCTATAATTTCCTTTTTTTAAATATTTATTTTCTAGTTGTAGTTGGACACAATACCCTCACTTTACTTATTTATTTTTATGTGGTGTTGAGGATCGAACCCAGGACCTCACATGTTCTAGGCAAGTACTCTGCCACTGAGCCACAACCCCAGTTGCTATAATTTCTTAAACTCTTAAGTATCTTCTATGCATAAATGATCTAAAAGCTCTCTGAAGGATCAGACCAAATGTCTTTTAGAATTCCCCATCTTTGACTTATCTGATAGTTTCCTCATGGTTTTGTTTTTCTTTCCTCTGTATTTCCCACAATCTCAAAGTTCAATGTACGGACTTGATTAAACTTAGGTTAGACATTTTTGGCAGGAACACTCACAGGTGAAGCGGTTGAGTTTGTGTCGCATTATGTCAGTAGATGCGGAGCGTTTGGTTGTGCTCCAACTAATTCCTGATCAGCAGGCGATGGTGCAGAGTTAGCATTACTTGCGAAAGAGAGCAACTGCCCTGGTGACTCCACATGAAGCAAATGTTAAAAGCCTCAGTTGCCAAAGCTAATTCTCCCTTTGTCTCTACATAAAAATTCTGGAATATTGATATTTTTAGTCTTTGTTTATACAGAGATCTGGAAAGCCTTTGATAGGACTAACCTATTAAAAACCACTTTGTTCCATTTACAGTTTATCTTGAGCCATATTATTGGATTATGTAGCTCTTGATCCAGCAGGTACTTTAGGGAAAACCACAGAGACCATATATGAGTTGTAATGGAAATTATTCTAGTTGGCAAATATTACTAGGGTTTCTTTCTTCTTTTTTAATATTGTCTTTATTTTATTTATTTATTTTGATATGGTGCTGAGGATCGAACCCAGGGCCTCGCACATGCTAGGTGAGCACTCTACCGCTGAGCCACAACCCCAGCCCAACTAGGATTTCTTAATTATTTTGCGATGGGACAGGCAGTTAGTGTAGACAAAGAAGTTGACTTGGAGAATGGAATGTGAAGTGAGGGGTGAAAAGAAGAATAGTAAAGAACAGTCCAGGGTTTCAGTGGTGGAGCATGTGCTTGGCATGCTTGAGGGCCTAGGTTTAATCCCCAGCACCAAAATGCAGAAGCAAAACAAAGGGGCTAGAAGAGTTCTTATCAATTCAGCAAACATGTTGAGCCCCAGTCTGCTAGTGGGTGACCTGGATGCCAAGCGCTCTGTGAACAGTTCCTCGCCCCCACCAGTGCAGCACAACTGACTTTCATCAACTCAACCTCTCCTTTAATCTCTTTCTCTCTCTGAGTTTGCAAATGAAAATGAGTTGAGAATGGTTAACAGGAGAAACAAACAACTCTGATAGACTATTCATATATATATGAATATATATCTGTGAGCCCAAACTACTGACCTTTAAATTTACTTACTGATCTTTTACCATCTTCTGGATGAGGGCAGGGGCTTTGATGGTCTTGGTCCCACTTGGCTCTCTAGAGCCTAGAAATGCACTAGTCTATAGAAGAGATTCCATAAATAGTATCACTGAGTGAAGGATTGAATGCACACCCTGGAAGCAGGCAGGGATCTTTGTTTTCTGTTGTATGCAACGACTTCCCACTGATAGTCCTGTTGAGTTTATGGAGTGATGATGGGCTGATTGAAATAAGAAACAAGTTTCCTGAAGCCAATACCTCCTGGTTCTAAAGACTGCATACACCTTTCTCATTAACCTTGAGCGACAGTGTCTAAGTGTCTCTTTAAATATTTTAGGTATTTTCTGCAGTCATACATTTTGAAAATTAGGAAGGAACAAGAGTTCAGACTTGTTTTTCCCCTATGATGCTTCATTTTTCTAGGAACAGTCTATACCAGATTGAAGGGATCCTTGGCCTACAAAAACTCAGAGCAACGATTTTTCCATTTGT